TTTCCTCCCTTCCCCCCTTCTCTCCTACATTCCCTCCTTCCTTCCCTCCTTCCTTCCTTTCTTTTCTCCTTCTCTCCTTCCTTTCCCCCTTCCTTTCCTCCCTTCCCCCCTTCTCTCCTACATTCCCTCCTTCCTTCCCTCCTTCCTTCCTTTCTTTTCTCCTTCTCTCCTTCCTTTCCCCCTTCCTTTCCTCCCTTCCCCCCTTCTCTCCTACATTCCCTCCTTCCTTCCCTCCTTCCTTCCCTCCTTTCTTCTCTCCTTCCTTCCCTCCTTTCTTCTCTGGAAGGAAAGGAATTTGAGAAGCCAGGAAAAGTGGAAGAAAAGGCGGCAGGAGGAGCACCCCCCACTCTGGTTTCAGACCCCTCCGTCCCCTCTCTCCACCCATGGAGCTCTTTTGCACCCACAGCCCCCTAAGCACGGCTGGCTGAGGAATTCTGGGAGTTAAGGTCCCAAGACTTCAAGCTGCCAAGGCTGGAGACTCCTGTCCTAAGCGTTGAAATGCTGGGAGGAACAATCTTGGGAGCCCCCCCAGGCAAACTCACAAGGCCAACGGGGGCGTCCTTGGCTGAGCAGGCAGCGCCCCGCCCTGCAAGGGAGGCTTCCCGGCCTTGGTCTGAGATACCTTTGGAAGTTCCAGGTGAAGCGCAGAGTGATGTCCGAGGAGCCGTTGTGCAGCTCCTGCCACAGCTGCTCACGGCTGGGGGGGCTGATGCTCCACAGGGACCCGGAGCTGCCCTCAATGCGGGCCCAGGCGACATCCTCGTAGCCGTACTGGGTGATGAACTGCATGGCTAGCTGCGGGCCACAAAGAGTCCCACGTCAGCAGTGCGCAGCTTGGCAGCCCCCCCCCATTCAGCCCAAGCCCACCACGGCAGGGCTTCCTTTCATTTTAACGGATGGGGGTCCTCCCACCCACCCCCCTTGAACAAGGGCATCCCCCTCCCTCGTGCTGTACTCCCTCCGCCAGGACTCACCGGCTCCCGTTCAAACTTATTGGTCAGCTGCTCGTAGTTCTGGGGGGTGAAAGGCTGGATGGACTGCTGCTGGGCACTCATGGTGAAGAGGGGCTGAAGAAGAAAGGAGGGGGGCAGGGGGAGGGGATCCAGTTTCAGGGACACCGTCAATCCTGATCCATCCCACACAGACTCAGTTCCAATAGAGCAGCTCTCACAGCTGCCAAAGGGGCACCATCAACGGAGAGGCACCCCCAAGATATATAGGAGCTGTGAGAGATTCAACCTGTCCAATCTCTGGGTCTCTCTGGGTGCAAGACCCTTGGGGGGCTGCAACTGCTATAAGAGCTAAGCCCACCTGCCCCTGGAAGCCGACATGGGCCTTTGCCAAGCTACAATGTCCAGCCAGCACGGCTAACCGAGAGGGATGTTGGGCGTCGTGGGCCATCAGCATCTGGGAACTGGGTGGCCTATCGCTTCTCCGCCCAGCAGTTCCTCTCACCTCGTAGCCCCCCAACTTGAGGGTAACAGTGACATCGATGGGGTGGTTGACCACACCCACCACCGAGCGGACGAGGGACATGAATAGCAGCGGGAACCAGATGATGCAGATGAGGAAGAGGATGATGAGGCCTCCCATGCCGTACTTGACAATCTTCTTCTTTTTCTGACCCTTGGGTTGTGGGTATTTCTGCAGGGAGAGAGGGGTGCTAACGGGTCAGCTCATGGCACCCAGGGTCTTCTCCCAAAAGCCCCTTGCCCCCCCCCTTCCAGTTGTGTTGGTCTACAACTATTATCCTACTAAACTACAGGGACTGTCTTGGGGATGAAACCCTCGAGAGAGAGAGAAGACCCAGCTCCACCATGCTTCTTCCCCTTCCGTGGAGGCCCACCTTCTCCGTCTCACGACTGCACTTGATGATGAAGATGTTGGCGTAGATGTCTTCCACACACATCCAGTTGGAGAGGGACAGGGTGGTGTCCGTCCAGACCCAGTCCATGACAGCTCGCAACTCCACCAAGAAAGGCACCAGGCGAAACCTGTGGAGCCAAGAGACGTGATCTTCAGATCCTCCAGGGGTGGGTTTGGGGTTCCCGTGGTTCGTCCATGAGGCCAATGTGGAGAAAAGATAATCTTTCTCGGGATG